ATTTTTCAAGTTCTGTTCCTTGAAGTCCTAAGGGTTCTTTAGAGTCCCCTGGGCATGAGTAACCCCAATCTGCTGCTCCCACTGCCCATCAAGGGAGGAGCATCATTTTTATCTCTTTATACATCGGGCTTCCTTGTAAGCTTTCATGATTTAAAAATAAAAACTGGGCTAGGGGATTATTAGGATTCTTTCCATCTGTATAAAAAGCTATACAATTTAAGCCAATGTCCTCTGCCTTAGTTAAGGATTTGGTTTTTTAAAATTCTCCTAACCCAGGATTCTCAACAGTGACATTACTAACCTTTTCGGCCAGATAGTTCCTTGTTGTGGGAGTTGTCCCGTTTACTGTAGAATGTTTAGCAACATCCCTGGCCTCCACTTACTAGGAGCCAGTAGCATGCCCCCATTTCTAACCACCACAAACGTCTCCAAACATTGCCAAATGTCCTTTGGGGAGCAAAATCACTCCTGTTGACAATCACTGGTCTAACGCTAAGATTAGTTAGCAAAAGGAAGCTTAAAAAAAAAAAAAAAAAAAAAAATCCTTTTTAAGAAAGATAAACTCCAAAGTGAAGAATCATTCATCCTGTCCTGACCTATCATCACAAGTGCAGGCCTCTTACGGACTCTGGACTGGAGCAAACCAGGTCCCAGATGCTCCTGTAAAGTGCCAGGATAAACAGCCATGCCTCCTACCCACACAGAGAGTGAACTGACAGACAAGGGACACACAAAGACTTTACCAAACGGCAAATGCTAATGGCATGTTTAATAATACCAACCAGAAATAGAAAACTCAAGTAAAAGAATTAGTTGTAAGGTTATAATGACAATAAAAATAAGTATAAAAAGGGGATAATATTTATGCTTAGGCTTCAAAGTGAAATGAAAGGTAAACTTAAAGTGACTATCTAAGCGTATGTCATGGAAGTTCTTTCTCTTTCTGGAGCAGGGATGACTTACCTACATTTCTCAAAAGAATCGTTAAATTCACTCTTCTAAACAGACTGGAAGGAAACGTCTGTTGTGCAAATGTAAAATTATAATTTAATTTTCGCTTAAAATAAACATCCCTGGATGATCATTTCCCTCAAATTGCCAACATTTAACAGCAAGAATTTGACAGCTTGCTAACTTTAAATAACTTATGGTAAATACTAGGGAAGAATTTAAAGGGGACTGTGAGGATTGCCCTTCAATCACTCAGATTATAGTCCAGTTTCCTTCACTGATTATTTGCAAAGTGACCAAACTTAACACCTGCTTCAAGGCAATGTAAATGAATATTTCAATGCCCGGGCAAAAGTGATTACACTTCCCTAACTTCACTAAGAGAAGTAGCTGAAGCATATCTCTCCTATTAATCACAGGAATCAGCTTCCTTGAGCCAAAATCTCAACCACTCTCCTCATTACCATTTGTATATACACTCTCTTTTCTACACTTTTGTCGAAAAATCAGCACATGCATTTAAAAACTTTTTTAATACAAAATCAAGTTTTCATTCTGAAAAACAAAATAAAAGGTTCATGTGATATTAAAGCAGACACAAAAGCATAATCTTGCAAGTCAGACATGATAGCGAGTGCTGAGGTGAATTAGAACCACAAGCTCTACTCTATGCTCCTCCAGATCATTGTAACCACCACCCAGCCCTAGGCCTGACAGTCAATTGTTCTGATGTAGCAGACAGGGACCGCTGTATTTTTGAGATTATTGGCTCAAAATGCCATATATAAGACTTTATCCATTAAAGAATGAAAGTTCAGTACAGCAAACAGGAACTAGCATTTTAATTCTCTTGGCTTTTCTGAGTGCTCATGGTGTAACCCATGCTGACCTCTTTGAGGCTGGCTTTCCAGTACTAACAGGGATGCTAATTCCTGCTCCTGCCAATTCTTAGACGCTCACTGTGACGATCACAGAGATAGTACTAGGCAATTTGGTTCTAGAGTTATGAATATACAAAGTTTGATTACCATTATTCACATATGATTTATATAACAGTGTGATGGTTAAGACTGTGTGTCAACTTGGCTGGGCCATGATTCTCAGTGTTTTGGCAGTTGTATAATGTTGTGATCACTTCCCTGTTGAGATGTGATATGTGATCACCCCCATGATGTGATCTGCTGTGAGTAGTCAATCAGTTGAAAGGGAGTTTCCTTGTGCATGAAATATAAGGGTATATTCAGGCAAGGCTCAGGGGCTCTTTGCTCGTGCTAGCTCCTGCAGCTGGCTCCTGTTCCTCTGACCTCTGGGTCTTGGGACTTGAGCTAGCAGCTTACCTGCAGTCTTGCCTGCCGATCTTGGGATGCATCGATCTTCGCAGCCTGTGACCAAGAGCCATGCTCTCTGACCTGCTGACCGTGGGTTCGCTAGCTTCTGCAGCTAAGGCTGCATGAATCAGGAGAAGCCTCTATCCTGACCCACGGTCTTGGGACGTTCCAGCCTCTATAACCCTATGAGCCATTTCCTTGATATAAATTTCTCTCTTTCTATTTATATGCTTTGCTGGTTTTGCTTCTCTAGAGTACCCAACCTAAGACAAATGGTCTATGTGAACACGACATAATGTGAAAGTTCTTTAGAAGTCAAAGTGTTATACAAATATTTGGTATAAATATTAAATTGACTGGAGCTCTAGTGAATGTGAAAAAGGAAGTGGCATTTTCTAGATGTGAAACGGAGTCTGCAAGGATAATGTGTAATATACTTTTTTGGAGACTATATGTATATAATGTATATAAACGTGCCTAGCATACAGATGACACTCAATACATTTTCGTTGAATATGCTAGTTTCTGATCTGCCACGACAATGAAATTAAGTTTGGCTGGTAGTATTGGAAGGCTCATCATGCCTTGACCACTACAACACTGTGCTCCAAAAGAAGGAGGTCACTGAAGCCAGCAATTGGAGGAGATTCTCTCTACTTGTTTTCACTATGCCCTCTCTCTACTCAAAGTAGTGAAGTTTCCAGAGTCGTCTTAAACTTTGACCAGCTGAAATCAGTTCTGGTGATATTAGGTGGACAACCTCATACCTAGTCATTAACTGAAATTCTTCTCTATAGCTTACTTATCAGACATTAACATTCCTGATGCTTAGGCTCTATGCCATTAAATTCTAAAGAAGATACTGCCTTTGCAATATAGAAAAAGCCTCACACGATATGCAAGAAACACATTGTCTCTCCCTAGATTTCTTTTCTAATAATCTGGATTCACTTAGCTACCTTTGGTTAAGGCGGTCCACTAGGGAGGAAAAGTTACCTTTTTATAGATCAGTGCTCCCCTCTTCTTCAAAAACTTAATATGTACTCAACTCTCACTGGGCTGATGATTTTTTAAATTGTAATAATGACTAAAATTAAATTGTCTTGATTTATTTTACTTGTTCAACAAAAACTGGTAAGCCTTCCTCCCAGTTGAAAGGGGAAACATTATCATGACACTGTATAAAGTGACAAGCAGAAAAAACCAAGCAGTTAAATGACATACTCAAGCTGATGGTACTCAGTACTGATTGTGGCAGAAGGTACAGATATTGTGGAACACCTTTTTTAGACAATAATTAGCACCTTTTGCTTCTAAAATTCCAGGTTCTTATTCTCTGAAAGCAGGGACCGTATCTGCCCTTTAATAAAACCCTTATGTGCCAGGCAAAGTGCTTAATGAAAATTCTTGTATGTTCTGACTAACTTCTCCCCCAAACAACATTACGGTTTCTGTCAAATGCCTTTCTTGAGTTGAAAATTCAACACGTTTTACAATTTGACCCAAATTACCCATATGAGCGAATGTTTCCAGCCTTTCCCTAACAGATTTCTGCTCTCCAGCCCCAAACGCTAAGCTATCTGTTAGTGTGTGTACAGTTGCGGATTCTTCATTATCTCTGTAATGTTATTCACCGTGCTACACCGTAACTGACTGGTTTGTGTTTCTAGAGGGCAGGGGGTGTCTTATCATCTAGCACAGTGCCCAGGATATAGTAGAGGCTTAGTATCTAACTGACAGCTGCCAGGTATTGTGCTAGCATGACTGGATCAATCAGTGACTGTAAGTGAAGCTGAAGGATATACAAAATATACCATGAAATTGAGCTATTCATTTGAATTCCACTAAAACTTCATCACAAACCTGAGGCATAATGAAGGATTACTGAATTAAGAAGCCACATGTATTTGACTCATAGCTCAATCAGATTCAATACTCCTACACCAAGCAGGGAGACCTTGGTCTCACTATTTATGTCAATAAAAAGCTCATGGGGTCTGCATACATGGGGTCTTTTACTGAAAACATCTGGATATCCTTATGCTAGAACACCAGGTTACCTACCTTGTTGTACATTACAATCACCAGTGACCCGTTGCTGTCGAGTCGATTCCAACTTATAGTGATCCTATAGGACAGAGCAGAACTGCCCCATAGGGTTTCTGAGGAGCTCCTGGTGGATTCGAACTGCCTACCTTTCGGTTAGCAGCCGTAGCTCTTAATCACTATGCCACCAGGGTTTCCACAATCACCGGAAGGGCTTTAAAAACTCCAGCAAACACAGCCATGCTCAGGACCCATCTCACATCTATAGAATCCCTGTGAGGTAAAGCCTAGTCATCAGTATTTTCAGAAAATACTACCCTATGTATCTAATGAGCGCACATGGATACAAGTCTTTGGGCTAGATGGATTTCATAGGCTTTACCAGGTCTAGGCTAAGTTGGTATGCACTATGAACGTCAGTAGCTCTAGAGTTACTGGAGGTGGGGTTATAGGTGAGTTCTAGAAATCTAACTATGGTCTGTGGGAAACTGTGTGAGATTATAGTTTCTCCCAAGATACTGCTGTAGTTGAAGCAATTTCCTGGCTGGTTGACTAAAGAATGGGTGCCTAATTTAGTTACCCTTAAACTTTAACTTCTTCAAGGAAGAATGGACATTAAGAAAGTAACAACCACTGCAGTAATTCATCTAAAGACAGGAAGTAATCCCTCAATACCTTTTTGGCTTCCTCAGCTGTGACAGAGCTTCCAGAGGCTTCATCTTTGCTGATCAGAGTAATTCCATCTAAAAAAGCAATTCACAGAGTAAAATCCAAGTGCAATGAAATAATCCAATTCCATCTATCCTCTTCATCACACCTCCTCCCACCTTCAGGACTGGAGATTTCTAAAACCATACAGGTGTTACGTTACTGAATTGCTGAGTTTCTTAATTCACATAGTTCCTACCACCTTACATTATTCCTTCTTTTATTTTTGCTCGTGCAAAATAAGTCACATATCAAAATGTGAAACCTTTGACCAACTCCAGACAGAAATAATCTCTGCTTCTTCAGAATTCTCAAATTGATTTGTTTATCCCTTTGAAATGGCTGTCATCATCTTATATCTTGTATAACTTTTTGTACATATTTTCTCTCTCCTAACAGATTATACTTTTCTTGACAGCAGGAACTAGGTTTTATTAATATTTATATTCCCCTCAATGTTTCACACAGCAGAGGCTCAATAAATAAATGATAACTGAATGAATGTATACTTTTGTCCAAACCCATCAAATGGGAATCTGCATACATTCTGACTTCCAGTAGTGTTTCTGGCTATTGATGGAATGGCTAGAGGACTAAGGTTAAAAGGAAACATCTTTTACAATGGGTATGCCCATCATGTCGATCAGTCCATCAACTTTAGCTCAGTGAGACCAAATCAAGGATAGAAAACCTACCTTTTACTTTAGTTTTCTCTTCTTCCTAAGATTTTCTCCTATCTCAAATGACTGATGTATGATACACTTTCAGAAAAGCACCTGCATTTAATATTCATTTGTTCCTAGAAATGGCACAAGTCGTGTGTATTCTCTCAGTAGGATATAAGCTCTCAGAAAATATGTATCTTGTGTATGTCCTGTAAGTTTTCTTTCTGCAAATAATATGCTAGAAGCATTCAATGAATATCAAAACCAATATCTTTCATCTACTGGGTCTTCAACAGAGACACAAAAGTGATATGAGTAAGCCCCATTCACCATCTATTCTAATTGCTTTCACTCCCCAGTGCAGAAGTTAAAGGGCTGAAAAATTAACTGTCAGGGAAATGGTTGCCTGTGTGATGAAAAACTGCCTGTTAGAAACTAGACAGATAGGTATTCAACTCCTTTTATACAGAATTTGCACAGAAAGACAAGTTGAAACTAATTTTGGGGCCCTAGTATAAGTGAAAAATTTCATAATATCTTTTCAACATCCATTGTTTTCACAATATGTATTTTTAATCAGTAATATCTTATCCTTGGTCCTGAAAATCAAGTGAGGTTAAAACAGAAAGGGAAAAGGGCATGAAAGGAATCATTCATCAAGTCTGAAACGGAAGACTGATTTTGCCTTCTTTTTGGGTTTAACTGGCATTGGTCTGGTGTTATGGAAAGCCCAAGAATATGGCAATGAACAGCTAGCAGGAGGAGCGCAAAAATGTTCGTGAGGTCAATGAAAGTGCTGTGGACCCAGCAGCACTGAAGAGACTGTGCCTAACAAGCTGAAAAGGGGCAATGTTTGTCCATATGGCTTCTTGACAGTCTTGGAAATGGGACTTACATGTTTAATTATTATTTCCCACCTTGTATTTACGCTTATTAGAGCAAGATTTTTAAGTTCCTTGAATCCTGAGCATTTCCCAAATCCAAACAAAAAGTCATCAGGTCCCCACATAACAGATCACAAAATTTAACTTATATTAAGAATTTATATTTAACTTACATGCAGGAAGCAAAATAGTACAAGTATTTGAAGAAAAAGACAAACGACACCTTACCCTGAACAACAATTTCCCAGAAGTGATTTAACTGTTTCATTTTTACTTTCTCTTGAAGAGCTTTCAGGAAACTGTTAAAGCGCTGCTCTTCTGAAAACTGGAGCGGGTGGAGGGGGGATGTGAAAGTAGAACGGGAGGCAAGTCAGAGCAAATACAAAATCAAAGTCATCCCCAGACCAAAGTACTGTATTTTGAATCCACTATGTTTATAAAAATAAAATAAAATGTCCTTCTTTGGTAAACGGTAAACTAGCCATTTCAAATCAAGCCATGTTTGTTTGGAACCAGAAATCCTTCCAAATGTGGAAGTTCCAGTGCTTCACAGAGCCACATAGTATTTTTGGTGGCCTGGTGTTTTGTTTTGTTTTAACTTTTAATATAGATAAACTCAAACAAAAGCAGAGAAAATAGCTTAATAAACGCTCCTGTACCCATCATCCAGCTTCAACAATTATCAACTCAGTCAATCTCATTTCATCTATATCCCTACCTTCTTCTTCCCTAAAACCCCCAACTGTTTTAAAGAAAATCTCAGTCATATTATTTTATGTATAAAAAAGTTCAGTATGTAATTCTAAAAGATAAGCCCTCTTTAAAAAAAAAAAATTCACGTGCCATTATCATACCACCAAAAAATTAACAATTCCTTAATAGGAGCAAATAACCAGTCAGTATTCACATTTTCCCGATTGTTTTACAAACCACTCTTCCTCCTTTATTTTTATTATTATAGTTCAAAAAAGGTCTATACATTAAGATTGACTGATATGTCTTTAAAGTCTCTTTTGATCCCCCTCTATCTCTTTTTTCCCTTACTTTAAGAAACCCAGTAACCTGTTACTTTTAAGAACATGTGGTGGCAACATACACAGATATGTTACCAGACACTCCAGCCACCCGGCACAGTGCAGGAAAAACAATACATTCTTCACCACCTTTTTCCATCTAACTAAATCTTTCTCCACCCAACCGAGTCATCCTTAGTCTTGTCCTGCCATTACTTTTCCAAAATTTTGTCTTTTTATCTGTAGGGTATTTGGGTCATCTACTTCTGAATCTTCTATTCTGACAATTTTCTCATTTTCTTTTCATTCTTTGAAAGCACCTAAAACTATTTAAGCATTAAGTTATCCATTCATTCAGCAAATATTTAATCAGCACCTACCCAAGAACTAACATACACTACAACTGTGCCTACTTTAAAGATGAACTTTCTAACTGAAACTTGCTCATCCCATGCTTAGAGGTATAAAAGCCTAGAAATAATCTGGAAGAATTTTTAAGTGTTTTCTGAAAATTTCTAGTAAAACGAACGAATAAACAAAACCCACGGAAGTCTTAGGGAGGGCAGTGGAGCTGGGTCATTAATTTTCAGTGTTTTTTCTGGTATTCAGATCTCTACTCCTATTTTCATAATGTCTTTCTCAATAATTATACCAATATATATTTCCCATCAATTTCCCTAAAATAGTCAGCCCATCTTTTACTATAATGACTGGGCCACCAGAGCTTACAAAGGAAATTTCCTTGGTTCCCTAAATAGGAACTGTAAAGCCAGGGTTATAATGTAACAAAAAGCTAACTCACAGGGATAAAACATCCCAGCCTCCCACCCATCCACCTACCCATCTTGATTTCCCCTCAGTAACAACACTGTAGTAAAACGAGTTTAGTCATTTTACCTCCCTTGACGTATGTTGTTATGCACAGTGAGAATGATTATTTCCAAAGCCTATGCTTGTTTGAAACCCTGGTGGTGTAGTGGTTGAGAGTACAGCTGCTAACCGAAAGGTCGGCAGTTGGCATCCACCAGGCACTCCTTGGAAACCCTATGGGGCAGTTCTACTCTGTCCTATAGGGTCACTATGAGTTGGAATCGACTCAACAGCAACGAGTTTTGTGCTGGCACAGTAGTTAAACACTCAGCTGCTAACCGAAAGGTTAATGGTTCGAACCCACCAGCCACTCCTTGGGAAAAAGATGTGGCTGTCTGCTTCCGTAAAGATTACAGCCTTGGAAACCCTTTGGGGCAGTTCTCCTCTGTCCTGTAGAGTCACTATGAGTTGGAATCACTTGACAGCAGTGGGTTGAGTTTCATGCTTGTTTGTGAAAGGCTGTATGTCCTTCCCCTGTGACAGCTAGGACAGTTATTACCTGAATTGCTTCTTCCCGGAAGGCTTTGATGCAGTCCATGCTCTTCATAAAATACAGCGTCTCATTAGTATCCAAAAACTGTTCAATACGACTTATTAGCTGGTGACTCACTGGAACATAAGACATAAATTAATTTTCTTAGATTTGAGCGGTGCTTGTTAGGGGGAGTGTATGCTTCTATGTAGTGTGCCTACATGGTTCAAGAGCCTCATGGTCTGTATGTACAATAACCATACATTACTGAATGGGAAGGTAAGAGGAAATAGAAAACACTGATTTCAAAAAGTCTATATTTGAGAAGTTTAGATAATACTTATTAATATTCATCAATAAATAAAATTTAATTTTGAGAATTATGGTTAAGTGTTCCTTTTAGGATTTCAAACACTAGGTTTTTTGCTGATGTTGCTTTTTATTTTGCCCTCAGAATTTAGGGGCCATTTGGACAATTCAAAACTGCCTTTCCTGATATAGTCATAGAAAATGGATCCTCTAGTCCCTCCTCCTAATTCCTCTCAGGATAACTGTCAAACAGTGCTAGGCAGTGAAAAATAATGAGCCAGGGGCACCCCACCTTCTACCAGCCCCAGGTCAAATTAGGAAAGACTAGCCCTAGCCTTAATTTGGAGCCCTGGTGGCGTAGTGGTTAAGAGCTTGGCTGCTAACCAAAAGGTTGACAGTTCAAATCCACCAGTCGCTCCTTAGAAACCCTATGCGGCAGTCCTACTCTGTCCTACAAGGTTGCTATGAGTTGGAACCGACTCAACGGTACCTAACGACAGTAAGTCTTAATTTAATAATATCCCTTTAGACTGAGAAGTCATTATTACAGATCTTATACCCTTAGCTAGGAGCATGCAACTGCTAACTGAAAGGTCAGCAGTTTGAACCCACCAGCCATTTCTCGGGTAGAAGATATGGCAGTCTGTTTCCATGAAGATTTACAGCCTTGGAATCCCTATGGGACAGTTCTACTCTGTCCTACAGGGTCGCTATGAGTTGGAATCGACTTGATGGCAGTGAGTTATACCCTTAGCTGGGCCTAAATATTCGCCATGTTGCTCCATACTCCATAAGCCATCAATACTTAATAAATAATTGTCAGCAAGCAGTATCATAAATGCTACAGAAAGAGGAAATACATTAATGTTATCATTTCCAAGGTGGCTAAGACAGGGTTGCAACTTGAGGTTGCCTCACAAAGGAAAAAAAAATGTGCAGTATAAAAAGCAGAGGAAAACAGAAATATAAAGTCATTATGGGACTTAATTTGCTAAGCAGATCAGAACTGACCCCTAAGATCTATGTAGAAGAACAAACCAACAGGATGTAAACATTCATGGCCTAAACATTCATTCCCTGCTTGTCCCCTGAAACCACTCACTAGCTGCCTGGTTGGCCAGATTTGAATAGTCCAGATATTCTAAGTCTGCACATTTCCCACAGTCACAGCCTCATCTGAGCATCTAATAGCTACACGTGTATATGTATACAATACTAAAACAAATCGCTTTACAGATTCAAATATAAACCTCAGGGCCACTGAGGTGCACTGCCCTGAGCATTGCTCAATGCCTTATGAAAGACATGAAATTCTGGGTCAGCTTCCTCCTTCCTTAGGATTTTTCAGCACATGGAGAGGATTAAAAAAAAAGGACACAATCTTTTCTAATATAGTAATTTTGCAGTAAGAGAAAAACATTCTCAGTAACAACTTCATCCCTTCTACCAACTAGGAGATTATGATCTACATTATAATAAAGCACTTAACAAACTTAAGGGATTAGAGAAACAACTTCCCTGCAGTTTCAGAAATCTTTACCAATGTATCTTGCAGCAGTGAATTAATAATATCCAACTACAACTCGAAGAAGAGAAAGAATGTTCAGATGAGTATTTAAACAAGGTAAACAATACAACCCTGATTAGAAGGCAGAGCAGAAGACCATCAACAAGAAACGCGAAGCAATAGAAGCTATCTCCCTTTTTCAGCTTGGGAAGGTGAAGTAATAGAGATATTTCATATCTCCCATACCGAGGTTGGAATTAAGGCATGTGAGGGTACTAAACGTTGACAATCTGTGGTACCCCTCCTCTACTTACACATTCATTCGAATGGGATGTGAGTTATACATATACATGTATATGTGTGTCTTAGCTATTCATGATGTAACTTTTTAAATGCGACTGTATTAGTGATTGAATGCAAAAGTGGTATATGCCATTTTAGTGGAATGAGATGAACTGGATAATAAAATTTTTTAGTGGATGCAGGGTACTAAGATTTTTACTATATACCACATTTTCTACAAAAAGAATATTCCACATAGTTTATAACAAAGAAAATGAGTCAGTAAACTTAGTTGTTTCAACAATCAATGTAAAATTCTGTTGATCTCCCACAATGAAAAATTGACTTTCACCAATTTTGCTTTGAATGGCTCATACTTCAATTTTGATGTTTGTTTCATAATAAATGCTATAATTATAAATGAACAAATGAAAAAATGTCATAAAGCAAAGTTTAATGATCAAAAAACAAGTAGTACAAAAAATTACTATATTTTATTTTTAGATAGATATTTCTCTAATGTGTTAAAAACATTTCTTTCTATTCTTTGCTCTTACAAATTCTTCAGTGATTTCATCACAATTAAGCTGCCAAATAATATCTCCTTCTATACATAATAAGGATAATGAATCGAGTCTTTCTTGAATCATTTGTTGTGCACTCACTTTTCCTTGTGCCCTGCCTGCTTGGCACTATGGGTCTTTGTTTTGAACGACTTGGTGCCCCTGTTTGGTTGATGCCCTGAGCATGTGGTTACTTTGCTTACTGGGTAATCCGTCCCAGCCTATACCACTTATAGCAGCATACTTTCTCAGATTCTTTGATATGAAGTTCACCCAGACTTATATATCTTCGCACAAATAAGAGGCTTTACAGGCCAAAGGGAGTAGTCAGAGAGATTCCAAGTCCCCGCCCCCTCTCCTTTTTTTTTAAAAATGAGAATGAGGAATCTTAGGAAACTATAATGTAAATATGTTTCTCTGCCTGGTTTAGCAATTGTTTTCACTAATTTATCCTAGTATATATTTATTATTATTGTATAATTACTACGTATAAGGCATTATGTTACTTTCTGCAGGGGCTACAATTAAGTTAAAGATAAGACTCTTGCCTTTGAGGAGCTTACAGTCTAACAGGGGACATAACCCACATACACAAAAATAATAACAGATGGTAAATGTGAAAAGGGCTATGACTATTTTGGAAATATATATATATTGATCTGAATTTTTGAAAATCTTTGATTATAGAAGCCTTCAAGAATTTACATGGCTTTTAAGCTGGGCAATGAAAAATAGAATTTGGATATCATACAGCAGGAAACAGAATGAGCAGAAGTATTAAGAATGGAGGTAGAAAAGCACAAGGTGTGTTTGGACAAAGGCAAATGGTCCTGTAACTAGAACACGGAGTACATGGAAGAGAGTAGAGGAAGAAAAAGCAGGAGTAAGAACTGGACAGGAAAAACCCAGAAGGAAGGTGTTCCAGGCAGAGGAAACACTATGTGTGAGGGTCCTGCAGCAGGGCAGAGCTTGGCTTCTTAGAAAGTGTGGAAAGAAAAAAGGGTCCAAGACCAAGGCTTTAGAGGTTGGATAGAAGAAAAGGGGCCAACAAAGGAGGCTAAGGAGTGGTTAGAGACAGGAGAAAGCCAGGAGAATGTGGCATCACAGAAATGAAGAGAGGAGATTGAGCGCTGTCTCCTATGTTCAAGCCAGTATGTAACACCTGCAAGGGAAAGAGTATAATGAGCATGAATGAAATTTACGGAATCCTTTGATCCAGGGACTGTGAGGAAGAGCCGAAGAAGCAACCAGAGAGGCCCTGAATTGCTTTGTAAAAAACAGCTTCCTGACCCACTTTTCTCCTGAAATTTGGTGGAAACACACACACATATACACCTGCCATTGCACAGAGAAAAATATTCAAGAGAGCAAATGCAAAAGCTAACAATCCATTTGCAATAACAATAAGAAGGTACACAGAGAAAAGGAAATAGGAGTCTCGAGTTTCTATTTGTGAATAAAGTCCTAGTATGTCTGTAGGCCTATTTAGATTTGGTTTTCCTTATTTACATGTTAGACCGCTCTGTCCTTTCCTCCGAAAATTCAGGAACACAGGAAGATAAATCCAAGCTTTCAACAAATCCAATGAATACAAGAATCAGATTTTGCCCTTCCAGGAATAATCAGTTACACGGCCTGTATATTAGGCCCATGTTCTGAACTCTATCCCTCTCCCTAAACTATTTTGTGGTTCACCGACTATAATGATCCATTTAACGCCAGTGAATAGCTGTGATGGATATGCTTTAATATCTGAATATCAGACCAGAAGATCGACAAGAGACTTTCCTCCCAAAGTTTAGTGGCATTTCAAATTTCCCTGCCATTTTTAATAAAAGTAAAATGCAGAAATGGCTGACAAAAATAATATTCTACTTTGGCTGGACGACACTTTGACTGCCCTCCCTTTATAAAGGAAATGCTGATGATCAGGGGGCTTTGCTCTGCTTCCACATCAATTATAGGGCTAAGGAATGGACTGTCAGTCTTCATACTCAGTAAATCACAGCTCCAATTATAATTCACCAAAATGTTCTTCAGAATTAGTCAGTGACTCAATAATACTCATTAGTAGCTAACACACAAAAAGGCCACTGGTAAGGCCATACTAAGTCTGGTAAAGGCTGTCATTTATTTCAAGGAGTATTTCAAAAATATGTTTTGGATTTTGAGGTTTTAAATATGGGCATTGTATATTAGCATCTTACACAAGTACAGATATTGATGCACATATTAGTCTCAATATAACAATACTTTAATGTTACGTTCAATTTCTTATCCAGATTCAGAGATGTTGTTTAAGAGGAAAATGGCGATTTTCTCGTTTAATCTGAAATGCATGTTCTCCCTCTCTAGAGAAAACACTCAACAACATCCAAAATCCTGCAAAATGGGCCACCTCCTTTCATGCTGCATGGTCACAAGGGCCAAAATACCAAGGCCATGTGCTTGTCTGCCTTCTTCACACTCACCTACA